TAATGAAATACATAATGTATAATGTTAAAAAGACAGAAAATAACATTACCAAAATAAGAGGAAAAATAATAGAATAAAGGGGGGATCAACTTCAAAGATGGCAAAAACAAAGGAAGGCTAGGGAGATGTTTTTCACTGTAGCAGTATTTATAACAAAAAATTAGAAACCTAAATGTTCCTCCACATCACAATTAAAGAGAATTATGCATTAAGAACAACAAAGACACTGAGCTTTTAATCACTCCCCGCCTTCTCTCTTTCTGACACATACCTCTCCCTACTCCCTCCTCCCCCCTCCCCCCTCTTCCCTGTCCCTGTCCCTCTCCCTGTCCCTCTCCCTCTCCCTCTCCCTCTCCCTCTCTCTCACTAGGGCCTTGACCTCAGAGAACTCTTATATCCTCCTTAGTGGGAGAAGCAAATCTTTACACAACTGAGATACGTATGTTTTAAAGGTAACAAACAGAATGCTATAGAAACACAAGATGAGATACGTATGTTTTAAAGGTAACAAACAGAATGCTATAGAAACACAAGATGAGTACACAAAAGTAGGAAACGCTTAAGAGGTGACTTCTGAGCTGGGCTTTGAGGAAATGTTACCTCAACTGATAGCGAATTACGAAAATGCAGTGTAGACAGAGGAACTAAATAAGCAAGGACTATTTATAGTATACTGGAATAGCAAGTAGTCTCATGGGGATAGATCATGAAGTAGTGAAGAAAAAAAGCTGCAAAGACAGGCAGAGGCCAAACTGGGGAGGGTCTTGAAAAACGTATTAACAAGTCAGGCTTTTATTCAGTATGTCATATTACCAAAGGTTACTAGTTACAAAAACTGAAGTAAAAATGAGGCTCAGAGAGTCTACCTTTAACAAGTTACACATCTATCTGGGTCTAGGAATATACCTGAATCCAATCCTTCATGCTGACTTCTCAATTTATATAATAGTTCAGTTTGATAAGAAATCAGGGAACACCTGAACTAAAGCCAATGTTATGGTAGAAACTAAAAGAAATGGCCAGAATCAAAAAGCGACTTGTAGGTATTTGTAGGTGCTAGTAGATACTGTTTTTTCTAGAGTCTAACCTGTGACTTTGACAGGCTTTGTAGACCAAGATCAAGTAATACCACCTATCTCATTTTTCTGGTTAAAAAATAAGGAAGTTCATCATGATAATATCTAAATTCCTTTCAAATTTGACATTCAAATAACTTAGGCATTGCAAAGGGCAGGTACTCAAGATGACCCAGATTTCTAGCTGAGAATCCTAGATAGAGCCTTGGAGAAGAGAGAGGAATAAAGTCCGATTTTGGACACACTGAATTTGAGATACCTCCAGATCTAATTTAGTTGCAAATTTAGGTCTGGACTTTAGGAGAAAGATCTAGAAGTCATTAGATTATAGATGACATATGAAGCCATGGGAATGAACGAGATTATTCAAGAAAACACTACATCAACAAAAAAGACAAAATAGTGAACACTAAAGTTTAATTGGCGAGGGGCAAAACAAAAAGATGAAGAGTCCACGCAGGTAAACAAATAGTTAAGCATAGTGTTACAAAAATCAAGGAGAAGATGAATTCCCAGAGCTAATCATATCATATAATGAAGTTTTAGGGTGAATAATACAGAAAATTAGCCAGTGGATTTAGACATAAGGGGGACAGTGATTATCAAGTGCTCAAATCCCACATCTTCACCAAAACTATCTCCATTTGCATGGTACCAGTAACTGTAACATTCCTTTGGCAAATGAATTCAGATACTGTTTAAAATAATATATTGCTCTATCATTCACACGGTCATAAGTCAAATACAGGGAATCTCCATCATGTTCCTGGCTTAAAATCTGACTGCTTTGCTCTCAGAACTGAAGTCCAAACAACTTAGCATGATATTCACACTTCTATTCTGGATCACTCTGCTTTTCCACCCTGCTCTCACACATTCCTTACCCATAGAGAATATGCCTACTGCTCCAAACTCCCTGCAGAATATACATTGTCCTTTGACGTATGGTACCCTTCTAAAACCTGTTTTTTTTTTTGTTTTTTTTTTCAAAGCACACTTCAAAGGCAAACATTACCATAAAACTTTCCCACATCTATTAGGTTGGGGGTGGTCCCCAAACCCCAGGCCACAGACCAGTACAGGTCCATGGCCTCAAGCAGGAGGAGAGTGGAGGCTGAGAAGTATTACTGCCTGAACTTCGTCTCCTATCAGATCAGCCCAGGCATTAGATTCTCATGGGAGCTTGAACCCCTATTGTGAACTGTGCAAGTGAGGGGATCTAGGTTGTATGCTCCTTATGAGAATCTAATGCCCGATGATCTGAGGTGGAACAGTTTCATCCCAAAACCATCTCCCATGCCCCGACCCAAGGCTGCAGAAAAACTGTCTTCCATAAAACCAGTCCCTAGTGCCAAAAAGTTAGGGTTATTACTAGGTAATAATTAATCATCTTCTCTCTGACTGTGCATGTTGCCATTATTACATTTCTTTCTATTTTGTATTATAATTAACTGTTTGCCTCCTTACTTATTAAAACTTAAACTCCTTCATGCCAGGAACAATCTGGGTGACAAAGTGAGACCCTGTTTCAAAATAAAAAAATAAAATAAAGTGTGACAGGGTCCATCCTGTGAGGTGAGACGTAACATATGAACTCTTACCTTTGGCAGAGCACAGAAATGGCAGTCATAAAAGAATGTAAGAGAAAAAAAACCCCGAATTTTAAAACAAATTCTTAAAGACGGAATGTGAGTTAGCATGACAGCTTAGAATCCCTACCATTCCAAGAAGAAGAGTCTGCATCCACTAGCTAGGTCTTTTTCTACTGGCCTCCATCTTGTGCTCCAGAGAAAGACTGCAGGCAACAGAGAGAGCCACCTTACTTTCTCCCACCCTCAAATGTGGCACAAGCAGGAAGATGAAGTTGTAGCAGTAATGCTGAGACAAAAAATCATCTGTTACTCCAGGCCTCACTTGAAACACAAAGTATTGGCAGTCCATCTTCGTAGGAGTCTGCTGACTGTGGTGTACTGAAAGTAACTACTGCAACCACAAACACCCAAAACCCTTCTCAATTACTAACTAGACTTACCAATACCTGTTCACACTAACAGCTTGACAGAAGTAGCGGCATGCCTATTTCTGGGTAGAAATATTACTTATCTCACTCCCTGCCATTCTTTTACTATACCTGATATTCAATCCAACATTATAAAAGACATACAAAAACAAGAGATTAAAACAGTCAACAAAACCAGACCTGGAGATGGACCAGATATTGAGTTTCAATAACTGTAATTAATAACTATAATTAATATGTTTATGGATCTAGTGGGGAATTTTAGCAGAGACAAAAAATTTTAAAAGGAAAATAAAAACAATAGAAATGAAAAATATGAAGGAGTCCTTCACTGGGGCTTATCAGCAGAATGAACACAATAAAGAAAAAGGGTGAACCTATAGAAAGATCAATAAAAATTATCCAAACTAAAAGAGAGTGGGAGAATAGCAAATGGTCTAATATATTTTTACTTGGAGTCCTAGAAGTAGGAGTGAGGCAGAAGAAATACCTGAAGAGATAATGAATAAAAATTTCCTAAATTCAATGAAGGACAATCAACCACACATTTAAGAACCACTGAGAAACCAAAGTAAGATAAAAATAAAGAAAAACACAACTAGGCCCATTATAGTCAATCTGCTGAAAAGCACTGATAAAAAGATAAAGAAAAAATACTGAAGATAGTGAGTAAAAAAATAAACATTACATACAGAGGAACAAAGATAAGAATGACAGCAGACTCCTCGCCAGAAACCATGGGAGCCAGAAAACAAATAAATTATCTTTAAAATATATAGAAGAAAACAAATGTCAGCCTAGAATTCTAAACTCACACCCCACAAAAAAGTTAAAAACAATTATTGTCAGCCAAACTGAATAATGAGAAATTTTAAATCTTTTGTCTCCAGGCAAAAGAAATTGATCCAACAGGGCATCAGGTGTCAGGCAACTTTTTCTGTAAAGAGTCAGTTAAGTGAAATGGTGTAATATTATTCAAAGGTGGACCAATGAAAAAGATGTATAATGAAAACCGTATAGCAACCACTAAAGTAAATAAAAAATAAGCCAACGGTAGAGATAAAATTGAAACATTTAAAAAAAAAAAAAAAAAAAAAGCAAACAACAAGAAAAATACCTTGGCCAGGCACAGTGGTTCACACTTTTAATCCCAACACTTTGGGAGGTCGAGGTGGATGGATTACTTGAGGTCAGGAGTTCCAAGACCAGCCTGGGCAACATGGCAAAACCCCATCTCTACTAAAAATACAAAAATTAGCTGGGTGTGGTGGCATGCACCTGTAGTCCCAGCTATTGTGGGTACTCAGGCACGAGACTCACTGAAACTCAGGAGATGGAGGTTGCGGTAAGCTGAGATTGCACCACTGCACTCCAGACTGGGCGATACAGCAAGACTGTCAAAAACAAACAAACAAACAAACAAACAAACAAAAAAAGCCCACCAAAAAAACAAAAACAAAACCAAAAAACACCTCAACCCAAAAAAAGGCAGGAAAAGTACGAAAGAAAAATAAATAGCAAGATGATAGATTTAAGTCCAACCATATCAATTTCATTAATTTAAATGGTCAATACTTTGATTTTAAGGCAGAGATTATCATATTGAATAAAGAATCAAATACTGATAGTTATAGGAACATTATAGAAACTAGAAACAAAGAATTGAAATAATTAAAAGACTAATCTAGGTACCTATATTAGATGAAACATAATTCTGCTAAATTTATATCAATATTTAAGAAATTTTAAAACATCTCAAATGAAAACAAATGAATATAATTAAGTTCAGCTGAAGTAATCTGACTTGACTACTTTTTGTCTCCCCAATTTCCAGATATTTTAAGGGCTTCATGTTAACTAATTCCCCCACCTCACCAAATATAGTAATGTTCATAAACACTGACCTTGCCATGGCTTCTTTCCACTTTCTGAAAACATTTATTCAGGGACAGATTATGTCGCACAGAATTCTTCCAGCCTGTTGGTGCAGTAGCAAAATATGGAAAATGGTCCAGAATCCAGCTATAAATTTCTTTGACAGGCAAACATTTATTTGGAGAGTGCTCAATAGCCATATAAATGAGAAGACTAAAGGAGTATGGGGGTTTTGAAGTTGCTGATTTTTTTTCTTGGTTCTGGTAGCAAGGTGGTCCAAAGGATGGCACATCATCTCCCTCTATGTCATACAATGGACTAACAATTGGAAGACCCTCAGTTCCAAGGCTGAAGTTTGTTAGAAGATTAGTATTTTCATGAAGCCAGTTCAAGTTTGTGAGTTCATCATCTGCTGACTCACTGTCCACTAGAGTGGCCTTTGGCCTGGCAGCATCAACAGCTTCAGGCAAGCTTCCCATTTTGTAAATCTGGCTTAATCCTGCAATCTTTTCAGCTCCTGGAGTTTCAGCTCTCTTATCTGGAGTCATTCCAATTACTGGACCCATTTACTCTTATAGTTCTGTAACAAAGGAAACAATTATCACTGTAATATTTAAGAGTCTTAAACTCTGGGAAAAAGATAATACACCTTTAAATATCCCCAAAACCAGAGATATTTTACAATCAATTAGCTCACGTAATATTTAAGCATAACATTTGTATAATAAAGATAATAATGGTTATAATACAAGGAAAATATATTAGTTGAAATGGCTGTAAATAAAATGCAGCTTTATAGGACCAGGTGTATGGGTGGTATTAACACAATTAAATAATGTATTTTAAATACTTAGTAAAGTACCTAGCCCATACTAACCACCTAAAAGGTAGTGGCTATTATTATTTAAAATGAACAGACTATTTCTTTGAATTATAAGACCTTTTAATACATGCATGTTAAGGATCTATGATTTTACTATAATAGTCATACAAATAGTTCAATCCTGAAAATAATAAATTTGAAATATTATTTAAGCAATATTTTAAAATAAACTCAAATCTCAAATGTTTACTATAAAAAGAAACTATACTATTTTTACAGCATATCATACCAAAAAGATAACATTTTTATTTCATTATTTATTTTTAATTGACAAATCATGATTATATATATTTATGGGGTACAATGCATTATTATGATACATGTATATACTGTGAAACAATTAGATCAGGCTAATTAATATATCCATCACCTCACATATCTATTTTTGTTTGTGATGAGAACTTTTAAAATGTACTTTTAGGAATTTTGAAATATACATTATTATTAACTATAGTCACCATGCTATGCAATAGATCACTATAACTTATTCCTCTTGTGTAACCAAAGCTTTGTACCTTTGACTAACATCTCCCACTTCCCTACACCCTCCTCTTATCTTCACCACAAGCATTTGGTTACCAACCATTCTACTCTCTCCTTCTATGAGTCTAACAAGATAATATTTCTTATTCACTAAATTTATTATTAGCTAAATTAAATTCACTATAAGTTTATTATTTCTTTTTAAAATTCCAGTACTTTCAAATTCTGCATTGTCTATCATCTCAAGTACTGACATTTCAAGGCAGACATTCTCTTAGTAAGGTCTGAACCGTCCCTGCACTTTCAAGTAGAGTGGAAAATAGCTGTTACTATTCTTTTTTCATTTCTATTTTCTTGAATGATTTTTGTTTTGCATTTTAAACACCCTTCCATTCAAAAACTATCACGAGAGAATAACAGGCCACAGAGGAAAGCAATAGGCTAATGTGCTATTTAATAAATTTTCCATGGCTCATAAAAATAACTCATTTCTAAATTCAGTGAAAAACCAGCTATTATCCTATTCAATCCATTTATGCTTGTGTAACTGAAATAATTGGGTGGTACCTCCAGAGCTTTATTTTGCTTAGAACATAGTTGGCAGGTTACTTCAAGAATTCTGAAAACCGGTAAATTAATTATTATTTTTTTATGTCAGTATGTAAAAGCGAAAACTGATTAAGTTTAGATATAGAACAGTTTATCTGGGTTCTGGAAGCTACCACCAGAAGTAGTTACCCTCAGAGCACTCCCTCAGAGCACTCCATTAGCAATAGCATTAGATAATACTTTGGGGCTCAGGCACTGTGCTACACAATTTACATATACTATCTCAATTAAATGTCAATTAAACCCTATAAAGTAGGCACTATTATTAACTCAACTTTAGTGATGAGGAAAATGAATCAGAGGTTAGGCATAAGTGGAACTGCTAGAATTTAAATCCAGGTAGACTGACTCCAGAAACAAAACTCAAACCACAGTATGTGCTGGCAACAGTATGTACACAACACCTATGAGTACCAATGACTCAAATCCTATGCATTTTAAATCTTAACAGCATTCTTTCCATATCCAGTTCTTATGTCCCTGTGTACCCATAACTAGAAACATCAAGACACTGTAAAAAGGAAAAGATCAAATGATAACAGATTTGGTTTCTATTTCAATCTCTTATGAAAACCACACATACATAAACATTCACATATATGAAAACACAATATATAAAAGAATTAATATCCTGTACTATGTAAGTGACCAAATTATTCATTTTATCACCAAAGTATCTGTATTCATAGAGACTTTAAAAACATAATGAATCAGAATTGGTTGAATGAAGTCTTGCTTCCTAAACAAATACTCTTTAGTGTATCCAGTGTCCAATTAAAGAACGGAGTGATTAATTTCCAATGTTTCACTTTTGCTTTGTCGCTTAAATCTCCATTTATCTTCCATTACACCTAGAAATTAAAAAGTACTAAATAGCAGTGGCTAACATTTGCTGAGATTTTACTACATTACAGATCCTGTTATAGGCTTTAAAATGCACTATCTCTACTCTGAACTACTATTAGTTCAATGTATGTCCTTTCTTTTCGACTATGAATTCCATGAGGAGTAAGAGTCCTTTTTTTCTTTTTTCTTTTTAAGAGATAGGGTCTCACTCTGTCACACAGGTTGGAGTACAGTGGCGATATCATGGCTCATTATAACCTCCACCTCCTGGGTTCCAGTGATCCTCTTGCCCCAGTAGCTGGGACCACAGGGGCACACCACCATGCCCAGCTAATTTTCAAATTTTTTATAGAGACAGAGTCTTGCTATGTTGCCCAGGCTAGTCTCAAACAATTGGCCTCAAGCAATCCTCCTGCCTCAGCTTCCCAAAGTGTTGGGATCACAGGCATGAGCGGCCGGGCCCAGCTGGGTCTTTTACTTTCGTTTTCCTAATTAATCTTACTAAACTGTTCAGTATGAGTAGACATTCAAATCATAATTATTTCAGATAGAAATGAACTCATAATACAAATTATATGTCTATTCTGTAAAATGCTGTACCAACGGCCTTTAAGAGTTAATTTATTTCGGAAATGAATCCTTAATGGTAGGAAACATCCTAAATGGTAACAATAAAAAAACTGAAATTCATTGTTAAGAATAAGGAAATGGAAATGAAGTAAGCCATTTCCCTAAGGTTCTAAAGCTAATAAAAAGCAAAGCCAAAATTATAAACCAGGCTAAGTTCAATATCCAAATTTCTGGCCATTAGAGTTACCTTCAATCACTTAAGGAACTTACATTTTTAGCAATACTACTTAAAACAGAAATAGTGAGTTACATTAATGCAACATACTCGAAAATCAGTCTCTTGATAACTATTGTCTAAATATTCTCACAAGTAACTAATTTGAATGGTTGCAAGTATGTTATTCCTTTGAATTATGAGTTTACAATAAAATTTCATTAAGATGTAAATAAATAGTAAGGCAGCAAATATGCCAAAGAGTTTAAAAACCAAGTATTGACATTGAAAGACTGACATCGTCTGAGTAAGGTCTGAACTGTCATTGTATTTTCAAGCGGGAAAAAAAGCTGTTTCTAAACTATCCTTGTAGAACAGCTTAGAGCACTATCCACTTAGATAAGATCAACGTTCAGGGTAGTAATGCTGTCTGCAGAGTACCATCCACTTAGAACACTAAGTCCACCACACTGGATAAATAGGCAAATGATCTTTTCTCACACATTAAGTAAATACAAATAGCAAACAAATACATGCTAAAAAATTATATAAAAGCTTATTTAAAAAATATAAACTAAACAATTTTGGGTAAGGACTTAGGGCCATTTTGGAAAGCTAACTGGAAATGTGTATCAAGAACTGTTCAAAATTTCACATTCTTTGACCCAACAATTCCAAACGTGTCATTTTTGTGAAATAATCTTATGAAGGCAAAAACATATTCCCTTCCCAGCCCACAATGTATGGAGGGACACACAGATATTCGTTCAAGAATTATTAAAGATAATGGAAAACTATAAAAAACTTACATTTCCTATAACAGAGAAATGATAAAGTACATCTATTCAATTTAATATTTAGTAGCTGTTAAAAATGACTAACTTGAAGAATGTAAAAAAATTAAAGTTTATAAAAACTAGTGAAAAAGTAAAAAATATATACAGAAAAGAAAATGGTGGTTTACATTACTAACGGTAATTTTTGTTTTTTTGTTCTACTTTCCGGTTTTTCTTTAATGTGCTTATTATATTTATAGTTTAAAATTAAAACAATAAGCTCAAGGGAGAAAAGGCTGTGCTACATTATTTTTAGTTGTAGTATTTCCACTTCACACACAAAAATCAAATCCTAAAAAGGTCATGGACTTATCAGAGAGCTTAAGTCAAAAACAGGAGCCACCTCTGTATTCTTAGTACACCCTGTTCTATTACAAACCTTTTCCATAACATGAATTAGCCCATTGGTAAGTAAAGGAATAATTTTAGTATAACGTAAGTCATATTGGTTTATACTGATTTTTCTCAGCCTTTCTTTTTGTACTACCAAATAACAACAGCTGAACCTAAAATAGGCTAACACAGTGGAAAGCAGCAAGCTGCTGAAAAGACAGTATGGTACACAATTCTCATTCAGCCCATGTTCCTCCTCTTGGCACAGCCTGGCCACATGCTCTTTCTTGGAAGTACTTAATGAGCTCTTCTTTCCAAATCTTTACACATTTTACCCTGGCCTCCATAATCCTGTAGCTTCAACCCTTCCTTGCACACTGTTTATCTTTTTTGTAAAAATCCTAAACTGACCATATAATTTATTTGTGACAAATTTAATATATGTTTTAACATATTCTAGTATTCTCATTAAGATTTATTTTTGTTAGCATTCTGGTTACAAAGCTGCACATTTTGAGTGAGTTGGCCCATCAGCTGTGCACAATTTTAGTGTTTTCAGGAATATATAAATATGCAATATTACTACAAAAAGATCTGTATATTTCACAACAAAATCAAGAAAACTTTCAATTTTATTTATTTTAAAAATTCTAGTCGAATGAGAAATTGTATCTTAAAATGAACTGAAACCATTCACTAGCAGAGTATTAATAACTATTCACTAGCGGAGCATTAATAATATGCATGGTCAGTTTGCTTCATAAAGCAAAATGTATTAACAAATTAAAGGAAACTTGGGCTTGTGACATAATATTTCCCTTTGTTAATCCTTTGAGAACAATATTTCAACAAGCCACATAAAATTGTGATATATAACAAATACCACTCAAAAAAAAGCCAAAAGAATATGATGTGGGATTTAAGAAATATACTCTAATTTTTAGGCATGTAACTAGCTTAATCCAAGTAATTAATACAACCACTAATAAAGGAATTTCTAAAGCCAAGACATTGCTATTCAAAAAAGTAGATAAATGTACTATTCACCTTAGCAAAGTACACATTTATGTTAAGGCTCCCAATCTTCTACATTCTAAAAAAAGAAAAAAAATTCTTCACAAGGAGAATTTTAAAAGCGGAGAGTTCAAGATTTGCACAGTGGCAATATCATAGCCAATGAGGTTTATCTGAGCAGAATTCCTGCTAATTGGAAACTTTTCCCAATACCCGACTGTGATGATTTGCAATATAGTCAGCAGTGGCAATTTTTTTTTTTTTTTTTTTTTGAGACAGAGTTTCACTCTTGTTGCCTAGGCTGGAGTGCAATGGTGCAATCTCAGCTCACCGCAACCTCCACCTCCCAGGTTCAAGCAATTCTCCTGCCTCAGACTTCTGAGTAGCTGGGATTACAGGCATGTACCACCAAGCCTAATTTTGTATTTTTAGTAAAGATGGGGTTTTTCCATGTTGGTCAGGCTGGTCTTGAACTCCCGGCCCCAGGTGATCCACCTGCCTCAGCTCCCCAAAGTGCTGGGGTTAGAGGCGTGAGCCACCACTCCCAGCCCAGCACTGGCAATTTTTGACTGTCTCTATAGAGATATACATAAATAAAATAAATAAAAATAGAAGTGGAGAGTTCAATAAACCCAGTACAATCACTCTGGAACCCATGAAGAGCATTACTGTATGCCTGCCATGGCGGCATCTTGAGAAGGTGGCTTGGGATTTAAATGTACCATTCTTTTTTTCACAGTTGTACATACAGCTCATACATCTCCTAAGGTGTCTAACAGAGATCTGCACATCTGCATATTATGTTTAATGTCATAGTGATATTCTACTCCAGGATAAGAAAAATAAAATTACATACTGGAATTCTTTGATCATTTCCCAAAAGGTCAAAGGAGAGCATTTTTGCTTAGGTTGGTATTAACATTAGTAAGAAAGAAATGCTTTACAGAGACTAAGAAAAGGGAAAGCCACAGAATTTTCAGCATTACCTAACATAACATGCTGCATTACAGAGAATTAGATGTGTCACAGTAATAGTCTTTTTTTTTTGTGTGTCAAAAATAACTAAGAAACATACTAAACACAAAATGTTTTACCAAACAGAATTTTGACTTATTTTTCTATACTTTTAACTGATTAAAGACTAACAAAAGGTTTTTCTTTATACTTTTCCCAGAATCCTTAAACATTATTTAGCCTTCCATATTTAATCATCATTTAAAATTAAATTATATAGAGGACATTCTGGGACTTGTTTCCCCCCTCCCCATCAAATTCATTAACATTATTGTAGCACTAATTCATTTTCATAGAGACTAGTATTTCATTTTGTGAATATTCAATAATTTCTGAAACTCTTAAGGAACATTTAATTGCTTATGTTTGGGGCTACTACAAGCAGTACTGTTATAGAGGCCTTTGTTCATATCACCTGGAATACAAGTGCCAAGAATTTCTCTTGGGTATACATCTAAAATTTGAACATACGTCAAGAAGTAGAATTATTTGGTCACAGAATATTCTTCTCTGCAACTTTCAGTGATGACAAACTGCTTACCAAAAAATGCTAAATCAGTTATCACTAACCAGGAATGTATAAACCAAATGTTCCACGTATTTGCCAAAATTGTTTTTTGTCAACCTGATGACTACTGTATTATCTGTTCTCATGCTATTACAGGGACATATCCGAGACAGGTTTAATTGGCTCACAGTTCTGCATGGCTGGGGAGGCCTCAGGAAACATAATCATGGCGGAAGGGGAAGCAAATGTTCTTCACATGGAAGCAGGAGAAAGAAGTGCCGAACAAAGTGGGGAAAAGCCCCCTATAAAACCACCAGATCTTCGTGAGAACTCACTCTCACAAGAACAGCTTGAAGAGACCACTCCTGTGATCTGATCACCTCCCACAAGGTCCCTCCCCACCACATGGGGATTACAATTTGGATTACAGTTGAAGATGAGATTTGGGTGAGGGTTCAGAGCAAGACCATATCAACTATGAAACTGTATCTCCTTGTTGTTTCAATCTGCATTTCCCAGATTAGTAACAGGCTGGAACTCCTTTCCTTTTCATTCATTCAAACATATCTGTATGCCAATATAGAATATGAATATATATCTATATACATACCATTTGGATTTCTTCCATATATCTATTGAAGCCCTGTGCCCATTTTTCTATGGGTTTTCTTAATGATTTGTAATGTTTGGATGCTCATACTTATATGTGATGCAAATATCTTTCTCCAGTAAATGATGTGTCTTTTCAGTCTGTTAGTTGCCTTTTAATAAGAAAGTTCTTAACTATCATATGGTGGAATTTATTAACCGTTTTCTTTATGGTCTACAGTTTTATAGTTTTTGCCTTTTACATTTAAATCTTCAACTTACCAAAAATGTATACATGTATTTTTTATCCAATTTCATCTTTCACATATGAACATAAAATTGTTCCACTACCATTTATTAAAAATTTCATCCTTCCTGTTGGGAGAACCAATCCACCATCAGTCCTTAGCGTCCCTGCACACTCTCACCTGTCAAGAATCTAAAGCTTTTTATCTGGGCCATTTCTCAGATTTTTGTTTGCTGCAAGCAAACCTGAGGTATGATTTAACATCTATTAAAGAACAGGCTAACTTCCAATATTTCTTCTCTCATCCATGAGATACTGAGAAAAATATTTTTAATTTCCATGTGATTAAAAAAGGTTTTTTTTTTTTTATATCTATTTCTAATTTAACTGAGTTGGTGCTATAATAGAGTATAGGATATCAATTCTCTAAAATTTGCTGAAACTCATTTCGTGGCCCAGTACATGATTAATTTTCATAATGATTAATGTTTCTATGGTGTGTGGATGAAATATATGTTCACTAGATCAAGCTTATTAATTGCACCATTAAAATTTTCGATATACTAATCTTTTTTGGAGGCCTGCTTTCTATATCAAATACTAAGGCAGATATAATCTCCTGCTATACTGGTAAAATTTTTCAATTTTTTCCTTGTACATCTGTTAGTTTTTTGCTTTATTTTGTGGCTACGGTTATTAATTGCATGTAACTTTAAAACATATATATATTCCTGCCAAATGGCCATTTACCATTATGTATCAATTCTTTTTGTCTCTAAGTCTATTTGAAATAATATACTAGCTTTCTTTCCATTAATATTTGCCAGGCAGCAACCTAAGTGTTCATCAACAAAATGAATGGATAAAGAAAATGTGGCACATATTCACAATGGAGTACCATTCAGCCATAAAAAAGAACGAGGTTCACACCTGTAATCCCACCACTTTAGGAGGCTGAGGCAGGCAGATCACTTGAGATCAGGAGTTCAAGACCAGCTTGACCAACATGGTGAAACCCCATCTGTACTAAAAATACATAAATTAGTGGGGCATGGTGGCTCACACCTGTGGTCCCAGCTACTTGGGAGGCTGACGCAGGAGAATCGCTTGAGCTGGGAAGTGGAGATTACAGTGAACTGAGATCATACCACTGCACTCCAGCCTAGGCAACAGAGGGAGATGACTCCATCTCCGAAAAAAAAAAAAAAAAAAATAGCTAAGATTTGAAAGAAACTCAAGTGTCTATCAACAGATGAATGTATAAAGAAAATGTAATACATATGCACAATGGAGTAGTATTCAGCAAAAAAAAAAAAAAAAAGAGATCCAGTCATTTACAACAACATGGATGGAACTGAAGATCATTATGTTAAGTTAAATAAGCCAGGCACAGAAAGACAAACATTGCATGTTCTCACTTATTTGTAGGATCTAAAATTCAAATGAAGTGAACTCATGAACATAAAGAGTAGAAGGATAGTTACCAGAGGCTGGGAAAGGTAGTGGGGGATTAGTTGGAGGGAGGTGAGGGTGGTTAATGAGTATTAAAAAGAAAAAAAAAAAAAGAACGAGTAAGACTTACTATTTGATAGCACAATAAGGTGACTATAGTCAATAATAACTTAATTTCATATTTTTAAATAACTTAAAGAATGTAATTAGATTATCTGTAATTCAAAGGATAAATGCTTGAAGGATGGACATCCCATCTTCCATGATGTGCTTATTTCACACTGCATAGCTGTATCAAAACATCTCATGTACCCCATAAATATATATACCTACTATGTACACACAAAAAATTTAAAAAATAAAAAAAAAGGTTGCCAGGTGTGTGTTTTTCCATTATTTTACTTTCAACATTTTCCTGTTTCCTTGTAATCCCTCTCCTAAACCCCATATAAATGAATATTGTTTTTAAAGGCATGCATGTATTAGGATTTACTTCTACCATCCTTTTTGGTATCCCACTCCTTCCATGTTAATTTTGCTCTTTCTTTTCTTGCCTTCTTTCGGATTACGATTCTTTTTTCTCATTCCATTTTTAAAGATCATCTTCTAGTGTGAAGGTTATATAAATATTTCTACCACCGAAATGCTAAACATTTTGATATATACTTCTAAAAACTCAGGTATCTTTAGTCTGCTCCTAAACAATGTATTTGAGATGCAGTCTTGCTCTGTCACGCAGGCTGAAGTGCAGTGGCACAATCTCAGCTCACTGCAACCACCACCTTCCAGGTACAAGCGATTCTACTGCCTCAGCCTCTGAAGTAGTTGGGACTGCAGGTGTGGGTCACCACATCCAGCTATTTTTATTTTTTAATATTTTTGGTAGACATGGGATTTCACCATGTTGACCAGGTTGGTATCGAACGCCTGACCTCAAGTGATCTGCCCACCTCGGCCTCCCAAAATGCTGGGATTACAGGTGTGAGCCACCATAACTGGTAACAATAAAAAGATCTTTAAATGCTAGCTCCAATCACCACCTCCTGGTTTATAATATAGCTTTTTCTTAACTTCCTAAGATGTTAATGTTGTTTAAGAAGTCTGTTTTTATTTACCTATGTAATTGTCACTCTTTGATCATTTCTTCTTGAATCACAGATTTTCTACTTATGACCATTTACTTCTGCTTAAAAAATAGTCAGTGAACTTTTAGATTTTATTTGTATGGACACGTCTTTATTTTGCCCATGATCTTGAAAGAGCTACAGAATTCTACATTGTTATTTTGTTTTCCATATCATCTTATAGTCTTCTATTTCCATTACTCTTACTGAAACCTGATATTCCTTTGGAGGTAATCTGTCTTTTCTCTTAAAAATGTTCCCTTTATTAATCTCTTTTATGTTTTCCATTTTCTTGTCTATCTTGTGTTCTAAATTTCTTCAGATTTAACTTTCATTATGCTATTTTTTCAACAGTCTATTTGCTTTTATACCTAACCATTGAATTTTAATTTCAATTACTATTTTTATTTCTAGAACTGCTGGTTCTTTTTCAGAGTATTTGCTTTATTTTTAAGCCTCTTACTGGACGTATTAAATGTATTTATTTTCTATTTTATATCTAATAATTCCAAAATGTGAACTATTTGCAGATCTGATTCAACTGATTCTCGTATATTGTGCCTTTTTCCTTGGATGGTCTGTAATTTTTATTATAAACCACTTATTTTCATTAGAACTTTACCAATGGGAATTCTTTGATAATGATGATTATGTTAGGTTTTATCAGGCCCTTGGGAGTAGTAACAGCCCAGGATCATTTTAAATTCTTAGCTTACGGTTTAGTGTGAATTCATGCTGCAAACTAGTGTAAGGGCTGGTTTGTAGCAGCACATTTTCAGTGACTTTTTTTTTATTTGCAGCAATATCCTAGAAAAAAATTCATCTGTAGAAACTCTGGGGACATAAAGGAAAAGAATTTCTGTATCATCCTTATTACTTACAAGGTACAGTACAATGGGGCTGCAAATTAGTGACAAAGACTATTTCCTACTAAATGCTCCACCTTGACTGGCTTTGCTTCCTGATCCCTTAGCCCCACAAAGCTATAAACAGAGAAGCTCACCTGATTTGGCAAATATCCTCAAGGCAATAGCCGGATTCAGAACTCAGCCTTGTCTAAGTACCCTCCACTTTGTGCCCAGAGCACTGATGCATTTAAGATTTTATTTTATCCAGCATTTTAGGTTGTTTTCAGCAGAAAGTTGAAGGTACTTGGTACCTTGATGCAGGTACTTGGTTCACCATGCTGCTGGAAACAGATGTTTACATTAGTTTCTCATGACAACATCACTAGAGTACATTATCTTTTATTTTAGCACATCATTTCTTATGTTTTTCTTTCTACCTCAGCACAATTGAGAGGTCTGATAAACTTCTAACCAGTCAGAGTTGCTCATTATGACAACGAATCTCAACTGGAAGTAGGTAGAGGACATATCCCTGGAGGTAAAAGGTTAATGGATACATTTTACAGGTCACGAGTGTTACAAATTTTCATTTCGTACTTTCACTTCAATGATAATAAAAACGTACTTTCACTTCAATGATAATAAAAAATGTATTTTACCATTTTCAAACAGAAAAGTGAGAGACATTTTAAAAGAAAACTGCTTTAGAACTAAAATCGGCAATTCTCAAAATGAGATTTTTTTTTTCCTTAAAAGAGATCCATATTATTTGAGAGAAGCACTGCTCCATAATGAAAGGTCTCACATTGCTGTATTTAAAAATATTTTTAAGTTACCAGATAAACCTTAGCTCCGTATCTTAGTCCTCAATAGTACTATATGTAGTCAATGTGCCTGATTATACAGGTCTGCAATTCCTTATCTAAAAACCTTAAGGCCAAATATATTTCAAAATTCAGAATATTTTGGATTTCAGAAAGGTAATACAACATATATACGTATCACATCCTAGTCGAGTCTGAGGCAACACCCCAAATAAATAGTAATATTTCTGTAGCAAAATGTATATTCACACTAAGAAGGGGTAAATAAAGACCACCAATATCCTTATCAGTTCAGGTCATGTTTTGCCACTATAAGGGTTAAGAAAACTTTTGGCTTCCAGAGCATTTTGGATTTCTAAATCATGGAAATGGAATTATAGATTTATTATCTGTTACAGCATAGAAATCCAGATAAATTTCATTAGAATTTCATACAACATCACAGATCTGAGTAAAATCTTAATACGGGTAAAGAGCTCACCTTAAGGCACATGAATTTCATGCATAAACTTTGTGGTTTTTCCCTCCAAATACTTGTAAGTCCCTTTTTTGTCTATCTGTGGTTTAATAATTGAAGATACAGAATAAGTAACCTCCTGATAAGGAAATGTATTATGAATTACTATAATGTCAGAAGTACTTAAATGTATGCAGACATTTTAAATATAAAAATTTAAATCTATATAAAATGAATATAGGAATTTTAAATGCTAAAGCTAAAGTATTAGCTATATTGGACTATGATTATAGTATCTCTACATCTAGTAATGTAGATAAAAGGTAGAGAAAGAGATGTGTAAGAGATATACTATTCAGAGGAACCTCTCCTGTTTTTTTCCTAAGAGGCTCCAAATCAGAAACTTCTTGCTTCTACCACATGCATGGCTCTGTTGTCACAGTTGTTA